TATCAGATCTTGTAACACTTGACACCACATTTCAATATATCTTCTCAGTCCAAGAGACTCAGAAAAGTAAATTAAATCAAACTTGTAACAGTATAGTTTCAAATATATTTTAGGTAGGTAAAAGTCTCTCATTTTAACAGATCATGCAGATGGGAACACAAGACGTAAAAGACCAACTCGTACAGGTACTCCCACTGGTTACATACATTATAATTTAGCATCAAGTTTTAAAATATAAATCACAACCAGATTACAATATAAACACCAAGTAAAACGGTGCGTTCCCATGCCTTTGCGAGTTTTTACTGAAGAGGTGTGACTCTAAAAGGCCAGGATGACTTCTCTTGGACAAACACAGCAGAACTCACAGGTAAAAATGCACACGGTCCCTGCCAAAGTATCACCTCTGGGGCCACAGAGACATCTTCTATGTCAGCTGTTTCTGCTCTCAACATATTCTTGAGAATTGTGTGTGTGTGTGTGTGTGTGTGTGCATACGTACTTAATAGTACAAATTTTTGCCTTTTGGAGAAAATGTTATGATGAGCTGAAACCACAGGCTGAGCATTCTGGCTCTCACATAAGTAGCTTTTGTGACCTCGGGCACCTTGCTGCACTTCAACCTGCTTCTCAAGTAACACCACCCTCCTGTTGAGGGGTGTTGTGGGACTTAAATGAGATCAACCCGGCACAGCCCTTAAGAAATATGGCTGTCTTCTCCCCATTCCCCCTTTTCTCTGTTTTTAATGAACAGCCAGTGGAAAAAAAAAAGTCCTTTTCTCTTTCTTTTGAGGGCAGCTTTGAACCTTTTTATTTTTAATCACTAAAACGAACTTGGCTTTGAAAATGATGGACATGCAAGCTGCAGAACTTCCGATCAGCTCTAAGATGTGCATGAGTGAGAAATAATAAGGCAGAATTTCCCAGGTGGTTCAGACACAGGGTCTCTTTTAAGAGGCTCGGAAGAGAGGCATTCTGAGAACTGGCAGCCACAGTGGAATAGCTGTCACGCTCTCCAGGAGACCCCTGGCAGGAGGCAGCATCTATCCACATGTGTAAGGTCTCTGCACAGTCACAGAGCCCCATTCCACGGAGGCTCCAGAGTTCTGTCTAATTCTCCACCAGAACTCTACCCACGTGTTCCTTCAGTTGGCAATTAATTGGAGTCTGAAAGCTTGCATTACAATGAGATTCTGAGGCTCCCACATTTCCCAAGAAGCAGGAGAGCTCATCCAGATTCGATTCTCTTGGAATCTGCTCTCATTGTATGTGCTCTCTGCTGACCACCGCCATCTGCTGATCTTCCAGTGGTGCCTCTGAACTTCCAAACTACCCAGCCCCTAAGACCATTCTTTTGACTCCAGAAAGGCCAGGTGCCGGCCACACACAGGCCTTCCCCCTCCATTTCCTTCAGGGACATCGTAAGCATCACTTGGTTGTACCCCCTTGCAGCCTCCCTTAGGAGCGAATGTGCAGAATTTTCTTGAACGTCTTCTTGAAGTTCTCATTGCACAAAGGGTAGATGAGGGGGTTCAGCGTGGAGTTGAGGTAGCCCAGCCAGATGGTGAACATGTGCACATGCTGGTTAGAACAGCTCTCGCAGAAGGCAATGACCATGAAGAAGATGAAGTAAGGAATCCAGCAAAGGATGAAGGCTGCCATGATGAAGCCCAGTTGTTTGGCGGCCTTCCGTTCCCGGTTCATGTGCAACCCAGACACATACTGTCTCGATTGCGAGCGGAGCCTCTTCCAAGTGAACTTGATATAATCCAGGCCTGTGTTAGACCCACTTCTCGATTTGCTTTTCCCGGGTGTTGGCTCTGTGGGCGTGTCTGAGTCTGTCCGGGAGAAGGACTGGCTGTCACCCAGGATCTGACCCTCTAAGATCTCAGTGACCCCGTGCATGTTCAGGCCCTGCTCATCTGTCTCGAGCTGGCTCTGGCTCTGATTGACGGCTGCACGGCCCTCACCACTCCCCTCTGCCTCAGTCTGCGGCTGCACAACGTTAAGAGAGAGGCAATGGAATTTGTCCAGTTCTCCATCCTCTGGGCTGGAGACACCTAGAGATTTTATCTCCTTTGGGTCTTGGGATGGTGGCTTCAAAACAGGTCCACCACCGGCATCTTTTGGCTTCCTTTTCAGAACCTCCCAGGGAGACTCTTTCCTCTGCTTCTTAGTCCCCACCTTGGGGTTCTCTGGCTTTGGCTTAATTTCAGAAAAGGAAGGGAGGGAGCCGTTGACGAGCTCCCGATGCTGACAGTGCCGCCGCACAGTCTTGTAGATCTTGGCATAGAACCAGAGCATGAGCAAGGTGGGCAGGTAGAAGTTGATGATGGCGGTCATGACCTTGAACCAGGTGACATCGTAGAAGTCTGTCTCGCACTTTCCCTCTCGGTGCTGCAAGGGCTTCGATATGAAGCGATGCCAGCCCAGGATGGGAATGACCCATAGGAAGGAGAGAAACCAGGCTGCCAGGATGGTGGCCGATGCTCGGGTCTTGGTGCGGTACTTCAGGTACTTGAGGGGCTGCCGGACAGAGCGGTAGCGATCGATGCACAAGATGAAGACGCTGAAAATGGATGCTGTGCTGGCCACGTAGTCCATGGAAAGCCAGAAGAGGCAGAGAGGGTGCCCTAGGGACCACCTGGACATGAGGAGGTAGAGGATGTTCATGGGCATGACGATGGCTCCCACGATCAGATCTGCTACCGAGAGGCTGACGATGTACAGGTTCCCCACCGTGTGCAGCTTCCGCTCGCTCCGCACAGCGTACAGGACCAGCAGGTTGAGTCCCACTGTGACCAAGGAGACGGCGCTCAGGACCACCACCAGGGGCATCAGCTGGGGGTCGGCCGTGGCAGTCTTGTTCCTGTCATTCATCGTGTCTTCCGAGACGCTGGAGGAGTTGGGAAAAGTCATTGGCACAAGAGTAGCCTCCAGCTAGGGTTCACTCCCTGGGAGGAAAGACACAAGGATTCAGGTCAGAGCCTGGTGGTCAGCAGTCACTTAGTGCAGTCACGGGGACCAGACTGGGCATGCGTGCTGTCGGGGCGACAGACGCTGCTGGTTACCCACAGCCTGTATGCCCACTTCCTTAGCCAGTCCTTCCTTCCTTCCTTCCGAGACTGCTGAATTCCTGGTATTGTTCTGGGTGTTGGGAATGGAGCAGCAAACAAAACAAGAATCTCTGCCCTCTAAGAGCTCACGTTCTAGTGAGGGAATTGGGCAAAAACAAGGCCAAGTTTGTATACATCCCAAGTCGCATGTATTCTGGGAGGTGGGCTGCATCCTGACTGGCCTAAGCTGCATATGGTGCCGTGGTTCCTCTCTGCCAGTGGCTGGTCTAGGAGTGGGTCTGAGACACAACTGTGGCCAAGGAAGTAGATGGGGAAGTCTCGTGGTAGAGATGGGGTTTTAGAAAGTTGTTCCTCTCTGACAAATGAGCAAAGCAACTAAAAGGGTGTTTCTTATTTGCCACCTCCTTCCTGACAGGAAGCGTATGTGTGGGGCTAAGGCAGTTATCCTGGGTCTATCACGAAAACGCCAAGAAAACCACTGAGACGCCAGCCCAGAGTCCTGTGATGACTGGGCTGCTGAACTGACCCTGGAATCTTCTTCCTCCAGGCTGGTTATTATGGGAAATAATTAAGTATCTTTTTTGCTTAAGCCACTGTTGTGGGAGTTTTTACTTGCGTCTAAAAGCACTCCTAACCTATATGGGGGAGCTTATCGGGGCACATGAGGAGTGAAATAAACCTGGCATAGCTCCTCAGATGAGTGGTGCTCAAGTGGTAAGAGGGCTATATTATTTGAGAAAGCATAGTTATCATTTTACTCTTATATTTGAAATTCTTTTCATTACATGAACTACACAAAGTAATATGTACTAAAACGTTCTTTGCTAGAGGGGCTGTACCAAAAACAGGTTGGATCCTGTTAATAGGTGATTCCTAATTGAAGTGGGAGGTTGAAGCAGGTATCAAGACTTCCAGAAGGCATTTTTAGATTTTTAAATTCAGTCTTAAACGTGGTGTGAGTTTAAAGAAAACTGAGAACTACCAAAGAGTGTAAAGGTCTCCTGACAATTTAGCAAAAATGAATTGCTTTTATGTTAAGACAAAGCCAGATAAATTCTTGAGCAGAAGGCTAAATTCATATGGTTTTTAAACATAAAAAGCAAGACCCCAAATACACAAATGGGCTTAATCAAACTTAAGAGCTTTTGCACAGCAAAGGAAACCACCAACAAAATGAAAAGACAACCCACTGAATGGGAGAAAATATTTGTGAATGTTATGGGCGATAAGGGGTTAATATCCAAAATATATAAACAGCTCATACAACTCAACATCAAAAATAAACAACCTGATTAAAAATGGGCAGAAGACTTGAAGAGACATTTTAGCAAAGAGGACATGCAAATGGCCAACAAGCACACGAAAAGATGCTCAACATCGCTAATCATGAGGGAAATCCAAGTCAACACCTCAAGGATGCACCACCTCACACCAGTCAGAACATCTGTCATCAAAAAGAAAACAAATAACAAGCATTGGCAAGGATGTGGAGAAAAGGAGACCCTCGGACACTGTTGATGGGAATGTAAATTGGTGCAGCCAGTGTGGAAACCAGTGTGGAGGTTTCTCAAAAAACTAAATAAAGAAGTACCATTCCACCCAGCAATTCTACTCCTGGGTATACATTCGAAAAAAATGAGAATGCTAATTTGAAAAAGTACACCCACCTCAATCTTCATAGCAGCATTATTTACAATTGCCAAGATATGGAAGCAAACTAAGTGTCCAACAATAGGGGAATGGATAAGGAAGATGTGATATACATAAACAACAGAATACTAGTCAGCCATAAAAAAGAATGAAATTTTACCACTTGCAACAACATGGATGGACTTGGAAATAAGTCAGATAAGATAAGTGAAATAAGTCAGACAGAGAAAGACAAATACTGTATGATATCACTTATATGGGAATCTAAAAACACAGAACAAGCTAGTGAATGTAACAAAAAAGAAGCCGACTCACAGATAAAGAGCACAAACTAATGACTATCAGTGGGGAGAGAGAAGGGGAAGGGGCAAGATGGGGGTGGGGGTTAAGAGGTACACGCTATTATGTATAAAATAAAAAAGCTACAAGGATATCGTGCACAACACAGGGAATATAGCCAATATTTTATAACAAGTATAAATGGAGTACAATCTATAAAAATTGGATCAGTGTGTTTTACACCTGTGACATACATAGCATTGTACATCAACTACACTTTACTTAAAAAAAACAAGCAAGACCCCAAGATTCTTGTGGAAGAAACCCTGTAAGTTACTTTGTTGGAAAAGCACCACTAGGGCAGCACTGATTTTGCCCCAGATGTGTCACTAAGTTGCTGAGTGATCTCTCAGCCTATGTCCTCTCATGGGGCAAATGTGGGAGGTGGGGTGGGTGCCCTCTAAAGGGTTTTCCAGGTCTCCTTTTTAGAGCCTTGCTCTGGGTAACTTTCCACGCTCTCCTCCAGCTCCGAGCCGCCACAGCCAGAGCAGCCCTCCGACTCCTTTGGCCTCTTCCACAGAATCACCTTCTCTTCCAGTGCCCCAGGCCTGCCCTCTGCTCCCATCACTCTCTGCTGTCAGCCTCGGGGGTCTCACTCACTCACCCCACCCCACTCCAGCCATCGCCTCTGTGAGGACAACCCCCAAATCTACAGCTTCAGCCTGTATTTCTGTCCACCCCATACCTCCAGGACCTTACAGCTTCACCTTCAGCCTTGACCAAGCCCAGATCGCTTGGAATTGTCCGCAGCCACCTTGGGGAGGAGGAGAGGAGGCTAACGCAGCGTCATCTCAAGGGTTCTTATTTTTTATTTTGGTTGGGAAGAAGGAGGAAGCGCTTCTCTACAACACTCCCACAGCTAGGCATTCCCAAGGGAGACCTAACCTCCCACTCCCACAGAACCGTCTCATTTCTCCTTCCTCATTGCCGAGAGGAAACTTCTCTTTTCTATTTCTCTTTTCTCTCTTCGTCTCATACACAGAAAGGGAAACAATTTTTTTCATTGTGCATATATACTATTTATCATTCCACAGTTATATCTGAGAGAAAGTGATTTTTATCTAAAAATCTATATAGTTTTCCTTTTTGATTAAAAAACAAAAGTTGTCTTGATTGCATTGAGGTCACTGAACTCAAAATTAGTGTTGCTTATTACATGCTTAGGGGTGAAGTCTACTGGTGTCCGCGACTTACTTTGAAATGAATCAAAAAGTAAGCTGGATGGATGAATGGTCAGAAGAACGGTAAACGAGTAGATACGTGATTAAGTACAAAGAGCAAAACATCAACTTCTGACTTGGGTGGTGGGTTTATGGCTGTTCGCTGTATCATGCTTTTTACCTTTTCTGTTTTATGAATATTTTCATAATAAAATGTTGGAGAAGTTTATCTTCCTCACTTAACTATCACCACAAGCTCGATTCTTTATCAAGTTTTCTCCTTCATAGCTTGGACATGTTATTTTGGGTAAAGATAAAAGCAGAGGACTGAGAAAGATTTAAGTGAATACGTAAGTGAGTGAGAGACAAGAGGCTCTGAAATATCTCAGCTCAGAACTTACTCATTCAACAGATACCTCCTGGCGTACGGTTCCTTTTCAGCTCAGTGATCTGTTTCGGGAACAAGAAAACCCATTTTTGTCCTCTGAAGCCAAGGGATTCAGAAGAAGGATTCCTGGCGCTGCCTCCAGCGGCACGTGGAGCTGCCTCTCTGGAGGATCGCGGGGGTGGGGTGAGGTGGGGGTGTCCGGACAGAGGAGGGAGTCTGAGGGATCATGTGAGGCCAAGAGGACAGCAGAGGCCACATTAGCACTGCCTGCCTGTCCCACCCAGGACCCGCTGCATCATTTGGGGGTTCATTGCAAAATGAAACATTTTAAAATTATTACAAATTTCAAGACAGAGGCAGCAGAACATCGAACCCGGCGTGGGGTCCCCCTGAGCACAGTGCCTGGGTGACTGCCAGTCTGGTCTCTCTACCCTCACCCAGTCCCCGAAAAGCTCTACTCATTGAGACTGCTCCTGTAAGGCTCTTTCCCCTCTGCTGGGGATCTGCATTTTGGAAACTCGATCTGTGAATGGTTTTCCCTCTCTTAAATGCCAAAGAGATGCCAGACACTCAGGCAGAGAGTGGGAGGTGTCCAGGGACGCAGATTTGCATTTCACCACGGGCTGCACAGGAGGCCACGCTCCCCGCGGGCTGCCCACACTCCACCAGGCTCTGAGGTGCCCTCTCTGGGGTCAAGGCCGAGCGTGCTGAGAGGATGTGCCCTGGGGAGAGAGAACGGAAGCTAGAGGAGGCACCTGGAGAAGAAAGAACCAGGCACCCGCAGGTTCTTTACAGCACTGTGTCCCTCGAGAAGTGGGCCATGGAAGAGAGTTCTCACCCAGCTCTGTCACTCGATGGGCTGTGTGGCGCTTGGGTAAACACCTGGGTCTCCAATTTCCTCACCTGTAAAGTAGGGAAAATAGTATTACCCCCACCCCACCCCCACCCCAGGCTGTTGGGAGCCTCCACTGGGACAGTGGGGTGGGAGAGCTCTGCTAACCCCCAGGGACAACAACCTGGTGACAAGCAGAAATGGACCCTTTACTCCAAGAGGCCCACATATACAAACAAGTCATCATTTTTTAATTAAGGCAGTGACTCCATCCCAAAACCATGAGCTGCAGTGGAATTTTCACTAGCGTGATTGCAAATAGTCTAATCCAATCAAGTCGTGTGTCAGCAAATAAGAAAATTCCCTTCACAACCCAGGAACGCCAACTGGGCGGCAACCACAGTAAGAGCCCAGCCCTGGGCTATTATTCTGGTTATTAAGTGCCCACCACAAGCCCGCAGGAAGGTCTTCTAATGAGCTCCAAGGTAAACATGAGGAAACAGTCAGCTTAGGCTCAGAGGGGTGAAGCAACTTACTCAAGGTCACACAGCCAGGAAGCAGCTGGTGAAGCCAAGATTCAAAATGAGGTCTATCTAACTGAGTTTCTCAACCTCCATTCCACTGACATTTCGAGCTGGACAATTCCTTGTTGTGGGGGCTGTCCTGTGCAGGGCTGGATGCCGAGCAGTGTCCCTGGCCTCTGCTCACTAAATGCCAGCAGCATCCTCCCCCATCCCCAGATATGACAACCAAAAATGTCTCTAGACATTGCCAGATATCCACTGGGAAGAGAAATGATCTGTCGTTGACAACTTGACTAAAGAATATGCAGCCTGAACTGCCAAAGAAAACAGCTTTCAGCTCGAGGTAAGGAAGGAGTTTCTAAAAAGAGATACTGTCTTACAATGCAATGAGTTGCCCTGATTGAAAAGAAGCTCCCCATCACTGGAGGTATCCAAGAAGAGGTGGCCTGGACCTGGTTCCAAATTAGAAATACTCCTACTTTCTCAGTGGCAACTGTTGGTGTCAGATAAAGGGGGCCAATGGGCAGGAATCTCTGTTGACAGCCAGGAAGGGGAGGCAAGAGGAACTGGAGGATTTGGAGAAATGCTACACGTTAAAGGAGGCTCTCAGTGGCCTCACCCTCTCTGCTTTCCCTCTCCTTTCAGCAATGCTGGTCCACAGGAGGCTTGGAGCTCATCTGGGTGGTAGAATAGGGCAGCAGTTAAGAACCCAGGCTTTGTAAACCAGTAAACCTCTGCCCTAATTAGCTGGGCAAGATACTTCACTTCACGAAGCCTCAGTTTTCCTCACCTCTAAAAGGGAGATGAACATCCTGTACAGTGCCTGACATACCTGAAGTGCTCATTTAACAGCAGCTGTTGTGTTTTCTTCCATTTCTTGGTAAGTGACACACCAACCCCACAGCCAGCCCCGTCTAGCTTAGAAGAATCATCCTTGATCTCTCCCAGTTTTCCAATATCAGCTCTCCTCTATTTAGGAATATACTTCTGCTTCTTAGCTGAAAACATGGCTGCCTGGAATAGAGACCACATTTCCTGGGCTCCTTTGTGGCTGGATATGACCATGTGACTAAGTTTCAATGAAATACAAATGCAAATGGAGTTTGCAACTTCCAGAAAGCAGCCCTCAAGGGAGGATGTTTTTTCTTTGGCCTTTCATTCTTCCAGCTGACTGGAATGTTGATAGGGTGAATTGAGCTTAAGCAGCAATTTTGGGACCATGAGGAAGAGCCACAAACTGAGGAAGAGGAAGCAGTAATTTGGAAGGAACTGAGATCTCTGATGGTCATGGAGCTGCTACCCTAGGCAGGACTCTCCCCTTCTAGGTTAGCATGGGTTTTCTATCACACACAGCCAAACTGAATCCTAACTGATACACTGCCTCTGTCTTCAAGGAGTTTGTCAGTTAGGATGAGAAGAAAGACAAAAAGATAAACAAATAGCATCAGAAAAATTAAATCAAAAATTCTACAATGCCACTGGGACAAGTGTGACAACTGAGGTGAGATCAACACAGCTGGCAGGACAGGGAAGGGGGGATACAGCCTCTCCCAAGGTAGAATGGGGATATCAAAAAGGATGTCGGTGATTGGGCTTTGAAGGATGAGTAGAAGTTTGCAGGGAAAGTGAAGGAAGAGGAATTTAAGGATGAGTTAAAGAAAGAATAAAAGTTCAGAGCTGAGTTTGAGGAATTGGGAGGGAAACATTCGAAGGGACTGGAGCTCAGAATGAGGAATCTGGACCCAGGTGGAAGGACACACTTTTACCCTTTATGCCTCTATTTCCCCTGCCTTTTGCCTGGAAGCTCTTAGTGGCTCCTCTTTCTGGGTTCCATGACACTTCTAACACTTCCCTTTCCACCACCCATCTTATCATTCCTCCTTTAGCTAATTCTCCCCAGGTCATGGAGGGTGCCCAATAACTCTGTTTCTGCAGGTCGACACCCAGGACCAACAAGAGGACAACCCCTCCTTGATGGCAAGGACCACACCTCTTCCTCGCTGCCATTCTCCTGTGCTGGCACATGATGGAGGCTCAACAGACAGAGCTCTGAAAAAATGAGACGCACATAAAGAAGACATGGGAAGAAGGACCGACGTGCAGAAGGTGTGGGCAAATTTCTCGAAGTATATTTAAACCAACAAAAATCAGAGATAAGATTTATCCTATTGATGAATATTTTTACCTTTCAGCTACCTTTCCTACTTTTTCCTGGAAACTGGGTATTTCTTTCATTGTAATCCAAAACATGAAGAAAGATCTATGCACAAAGATGCTTACTGAAACCTCATTTATGCTAGGAGGTAAAAGGAAATAATCTAACATTTGGAACCTACACCTATTTTGGGATAAATACAGACATTGATAATCACATTAATGGAGCACCAGTAATGATCTGGGAAGATGCTTATGATGAAATTAAATTTACAACAGACATTGTACTGTCAGCTGTGTTAACTAGCAGGCTGAGAGAGGGTGAATCTCTGCTATGTTAACAGTGCTTTCCTCTGGGTAGTAAATGATGTTTATTATCTTCTGTATTTTCCAAGATTTCAACAATGAAGTCATCTGTAACAGGAAAAATGAGAACTAACTGCACTCATTTTTAAAAACCAAGTAAAATAGATTTATTCCACTGGGAAAAATTTTTTTTAATGTCTTCCACATTCTTAGCACATCTTTTATTTTCCTTAGTAAAAAGTCAGAGTTTGAGGTTCCTTTCTTGATACATTCTAAACTGCCTCACCCAACACTCCTCATTCCAAACTGCTCTGCCCTCTGCCTCATTTGCACTGGGTGGTTCTTCTTGTCAAGTAAGCCAGAACATTAAACTCTTTGCTCTAATTCTGAGAAAGAGGCGCCCTGCATGAGGGGACCCCAAGGACTGCATGTTCTCATTGAGTCTGGTCAGGGCGTCATTTCCATAAAGCACTCAGGTTCATCAATGCCACTGGCAGTGGTGCCGAGAGCAGACTGCAAATAGCAAAACCTCGTTGTGAGCCCAGCGCTGCAGGAACGCGGCTGACTCGGAATGTAGGGCAGTGCCCGGCTCAGAGTTAGCCTCTGGGTAAGACGCAAGACGCAGATGACTCTGTGGGCTGGCAGTGGCCCCGAAGACTTTCCTGGGGGTGGAGGTACACATTCAAATGGCTAGAGTCGGGGAGGAAAAGTTAAGAAGAACAGGGGACTGTGTGTGGAACAAGGCAGAGTGGTGGGGACTGGGGCAACTGGGACAGGACACCCTCTGTCTGAAGAGGACGGCTGCCACGCTGATGCCACCGACTGTGGCCGACCCAGAACCGCCTATTTTTTAAAACGAAGCATAAAAACTGGATTTTCACATGAAATCTTTTTGTTTGTAAATGTTGTCAGTTATTCAATCATTTCATTTGTTTTCTCAAACACTTAAACACAGATCCAACAAAAACTAATTTGGGGGATCTGACCTACAAGCCCTGAGCTGGAAACGTGGAGCTGGTTCACAGCGGATCCAGCATGCTGCATACGAGATAGGGACCCCAGAGAGACACCTTTGGGGGCATTTGCCTGGCTCACAATGAGCCTCCTCTCACCCATGCAGGGAGCAGCTGGGCGGGGATGGGGTCCTGGCTGCCAAAGTGATACTGTGTAAACTCCCCCTCAGGCACACAAGATTGGACCAGAGGTATTCACCGAATTCAAAATGGGTCGACCAGTCCAATTCTCTTCTGAAAAGCTGGTATTGGGGTTTTGCAGTCAAGACTCCTGGTCTCCTGAACTGAAGAGATGGGGAAGTGAGGGTGGAAGCTGCCACTGAGGGGCAGTGCTGCTCACCTCCAGGCAGAAGCAGAGGAAGGGTCAGAAGAAGGCAGCAGACAAATGCAACGATGCACCTGCTGGATTAACTGATATCTACGTGCAAAGGGATGAATTCAGACCCTTCCCTCACGCCATACCCGGAGATTAACTCAATACTGACACAAGTCCTAAATGTAAGGGCTAAACCTCTTCAAAATCTTAGAAGAAGTAGAAGAAAATCTTTGTGACCAGAGTTAGGCAAAGATTTCTCAGAAACAACACCAAAGGCACAGCCAATAAAGGAAAAAATTGATAACTGGACTTCATCACAACTCAAAACTTCTGGGTTTCAAAAGGCACCCCTAAGAAAGTGCAAAGCTACAGAATGGGAGAAAATATATGCATATCCTATCTGATCAGAGTATATATCTGATGTATCCAGAATACATGAAGAACCCTTCCAGCTCAGTAAGAAGACAAATAACCTAATTCAAAGATCGGAAAGGGATCCGAATAGGCATTTCACTAAAGAAGAGATATCGGGATGGCTCACAAACTCATGAAAAGAGGATTCAGCAGCATCAGCCACCAGGGAAATGCAAGTCAAAACCACAGTGAGACACCACTTCACAGGCACTAGGATGATGATACTTTTAAATAGTAAGTGTTGATGAGGACATGGAGAAATTAGAACCCTCACAGACTATTGGTGGGAATGCAAAATGGTGCAGCCACCGTGGAAAAGCCTGGCAGTTCCTTAATAGTTAAAC